AAAAAAAAAAAAAAAAAAAAACTTACTGTAGCTGTACTGCACCCAACCCAAGGAGCACCACTATTAAGTGGAGGTTGACATTGCGTGGCTGCAGCTGAGTTTCTAGTGAAACGAGGGATTTTAGATAAAAGTTTGACTTGCAGCAGGTGTAAAAACCTGGTTTATACACCTGCAAGTCGAACTTCGGTAACAGCAGCCTTATTGCAAGCTTTCCTTTCCTGCATCCAGCCATCTCCCTCCATAGCTGCACTGTACTGTACTGTGCTGTACTGTACTGTACTGTACTGTTTGTAGCTATGGATATGGCAAAACAGCTGTACTGTACCCCCGTCCCCCTTAGCTGCGTTGCAAAACCTCCCACCCCCACTCACCCACCACTGCCTCTCCTCCCCCAACCCCCCTGTCCTCCAAGTTCCAACCCACCCCCCCCTCCCCCCCACCTATCTATCCATTCCGTCCAACTCCTCCCCCCATCCACCTACCTCCTTTCCCAGAGTGTCTCTACTTCCCCTGCCCCCCTCCCCTCATTTCCTCTCACCCCCACCACCTCCTCCGTCCCCTACTTGGACCCTCCTTCCAAACACATCCCCCCCCCTTCCCCCCCCCCTTTCCCCCTCCCACCCCCCCCCTTCAGCTGTCCATCAACGGCGTCCAAGCCTTCCTCCCAGCCAGCTACCTCCTGCCTGAAATGTCCTCTCCCCTCCCTCCAGCGTTCCCATACACACACACCCATTCCCCCACCCCTTGCCCTCCCCCACCCTCAGGTATCTATCAAAGGCGTCCTAGCCTTCCTCCCAGCCAGCTATCTACTGCTGGAGCTCTCTCCCCCCTTCGTTCCCACCCATTCTCACACATCCATCTCCCCTTCCCCCCTCTTCCATTCTCCCCCTCCCCCCCCTTCAGCTATCCATCAACGGCGTCCAAGCCTTCCTTCCAGCCAGCTACCTGCTGCCAGAAATGTCCTCTTCCCTCCCTCCAGCATTCCCATACACGCACACCCAATCCCCCCCAACCCATCCCCACCCCCTCCCCCCCTTTCAGCTATCCATCAGCGGCGTCCAAGCCTTCCTCCCAGCCAGCTACTTGCTGCCGGAGCTTCGAAGGTGGAGTTTCCGAGGCTGGCTCCGAGCCAAGGGGCACGACCCTAACCTGTTTGGAGAGAGGGAAGAAAGCGGTGGAGTAGAGGGGGGAGGTGGGGAGGGGGCGGAGGGGAAAGTCAAGAACGAGAAGGGGGAAGGGGTGAGGAGGGAGGAAAGCAAGGGCGAGAAAAGGGGTTGGAGGAAGAGAGGGGAGTGGAGGGAGGAGACGGAGGGGAGGGATGGAAGGGAGGGGAGGGAGGAGAGGGAGGGGAGGGAGGGGAGGGAGGGGAGGGAGGGGAGGGTGTTGAGGCGTTGAAGGCGCAACTGAGTGCAGAGTACACCCAAGAGAAACTTGCTCTCTTCTCGACTTACTTGGGGGAGGTAGGACTTGGCAATCACTCAAGGGTAGGGTTTTCAGTAGCTGGCTTGGCATCCAAAACGCCGCCTTACGCCCTCCCTCTCCATTATCACTACCGCTACAAGTTTTGTTGAAACCACTTCCCTCTTCCCTTCTTCCTCTCCCCTTCGTTCCTCTCCCCTTCATTCCTCTCCCCCTTTTCCCCAATATGACCGACCGCACTGAGGCACCTCAACTCAAACCCCTTGTGACTGGCCGGTAGAATTAGATTCATTCATCTTTTCTCTCCCTATTTCTCTTCCTCTGGAACCCCCAATCCTCCCCCCCTCACTGTTTTTTGGTGTTTTTTTTTTGTTCTCAACTCCCTATTTCTCTCTCAAGTGAAAACTTCTAGCAGTGAGGTGGTATAAGTTTTCTTCTTCTCTCTCCCTATTTCTCTTTTTCTGGCTCCCTCAACTTCCCCCCACTGCTTTTCGCTCCCTCCCCGCTTCCCTTTACATCCCCTCTCATTTTCCCTTCAATCTCCCTGCTCACTACCCTCCCTCTCCCTCCTTTCTTCCTCTCACTCCCTCCCCTCACTTCTCATTCTCCTATTAGGAGGTTCGAGTGAGAGTGGAAAAGTGCCTTCATTTTTTCCAATCTTCCCTCTATTTCGCTAACATCTTCCTTTTACCTCCCTCCTCCCTCCTGTCTCCTCTTGATCTCCCATCAGGACGTTCGAGTGAGGGTCGAGAGGTGTGACTATAGGGCCCGCTCTGTGTTTGTGACGCAAAGGGGGGCTGATCTGGAGGACAAAGAGAGGCAGGAGCGAAGGGAGCAATTGCAGGTGGGTTCCTGGGATTTGTTGGACTAAGGAGTAAGTAAGAAGAAAATAAATGGAGGAGGCATGTTTGCTCTGCCAAATAAAGGAGATTGTCCCGACCCCTCGGGTGGAGCGCTGGTGATTATTTAGGAGCATGGACAAGTCATGGTTGCCTGCGTGCTGCTGCATCTTTGTGCATGCACGTGTGCGCCTGTTCGTCTTTATGTGCTTGTGTGCGCCTGTGTGTCTTTATGTGCATGTGTGTGCCTGTGTGTCATTATGTGCATTTGTGTTCGCTCCCCTCCACATGTGCATGTACATGGCATGACCTCATCAGCACCGGCTTGAAGCAGGAGATATTGTAACGTCTACAGTAGTGTACATCGGCGACAAGAACATGACAGTTCAGGTACCACGGAACATTATGTACTTTTGGTCATGGTTAAGTTGTGTTAGACCATCAACCCTACTTACAATCAAGTGCATGCACATGTTTAGAGTGTGTAAGCTGTTAAATCCCTCTCTTTGCAACCTGCTTCCCTCCTTATTTCTCCCCTCCCAGCAATGTCAATTCCTTATCTTTTCCCTCCCACTCTTCCTCCCAATATCCCTCACACCATGCCACGTGTCACTCCCTCACAGGTGGAGGGCGTAAACATCATGATTCATTACGACAAAAATCCCTCAGCTGCAGGAAGGAACAGTGGACACGTGGCCCTTTCCTATTGGCCAGGTAGGCCTGCAGCAGATAAGATCCCTGCCAGCTACTCTCTGCTGAGGAAGGGTGTGAGTGACGTCAGCATATGCTGAGTGACGTCAGCATATGCTCTCCCTCACAACCCAATAAACACAACATGAATGGCAGATTGCATATTGCAAATTGCATATTGTGTGTTGCATATTGCATATCGCATATTGCATATTGCGTGTGCTGCAAAGTAAGCCTGTTGACAAGCGGCTACTAGTGGCAGTGGAACAGGAGCAGGGGCAGCAGCAGACGTCTCACACCCATCCACTCCCTCTCTCCCCTCCCTACCCATCCACTCCCTCTCTCCCCTCCCTACCCAACTCCCAGCCCCTACAGGTGCGTGTGCTGCGCAGCAAGCCCGTCGACAAGCGGCTAGTGGTGGCAGTGGAGCAGGGGCGGCAGGGGCAGCAGGGATGGGGGCAGTCGTCCCTCGCACCACTGTCGGAGCTCCTCAAGTCATCTGAAACGGCTGCTTCTGGCCCAACCAGTCCTCCAAGCTTTGAGGTGCGTGGGTGTGGGGATCGGGTGAGGTGAGTGTGAGTGGGTGTGGGGAGCAGGTGAGGTGAGTGTGAGTGGGTGTGGGGAGCAGGTGACAAGGTGCGGGTACAGGGACGGCTGGGCGGCACAGGGAAGAGCAGGCTGGGTTAGGTGCGGTCTGGCTGGGACGGCTGGCTTTGTTTGGCTGGCCGGTATCGTGCTCTACTCTCTTTTTTTTTGTTCTCTTGTTCCCCTCTGCTGCTCTTGTTTCTACCGCTTCCCGCTCTCAGTTCGCTGCTTCATTCCCTTCCCTCCTCCATCTTGAATCCCCCCCTCGTTTCTATCTTCCTCCTCCCTCTTCCCTCCCTGTTTCACTCTTTCTCCTTCACTCCCCCTCACTCTACTTTCATCCCTCCACACCTTGCTCCCTTAACTCTCCACAATCTGCAATACAGGCAGCAGCTGAGCTTAAAGCTATTATTGTGGTGCCTCAGAAATGGTTTCTACTTTCATCCATCCCTCCGCTAACTCTCCACAATCCGCCTTACAGGCAGCAGCAGAGCTAGAAGCAGTGGCAGCCAACCTCAGAGCGACACCTGGCATAGCCTCGGTGAATCTGGGCCGTGTGATCAGAGGAGGGGCATTGGCTCCTGGATTTCAGGTAGGGCCATCATCGTTCTCGAACATTAGCGGGGTTTTTTATTGCGAATTACAAGTTAAGGATTGAGAGCTTGTGAGGGGTGCTGGTTTTGCAGGTGATTACTGTGATGATTATACAGCAGCTGCATACTGATTTTATAAGCATGGAGTTTCCTTACCCCGTTTTTTATCGCAGTGCCTCTTCTTCAATCTTACCTTCCCCTGACACCATATGTCTTCCATCTGTTATCACAGATATTCCTGGCCTCACAGTCCGACAAAGGGTGCAAGCTTATTGCACGATCAGGGCTGACCATTCAAGAGGTAAAAATATTTCCCCATTTGAACGCGTCTTTCATAATGGTTTAATGCCCTCCATGTTCCAAACCAATGGTAGGCTTAAAAGTTATCCGTTGCTTGGTTACCTGGCTTATTTGATAAACCATGCTTTGTGTGCAGGTGCTTGTGGAAGCAAGCCTTGAGAAGGATGAAATGAAACAAGCGATTCAAGCAGCGACTGGGCAGTTGTGACCATGCTGGAATGTTGAGAGAATTGAACCAGGTCAGGTGGCTAGCTGCAGTAGGCTACGCTATGTTACGCCATGGATTGAAATTAACCACCATGCCTGGTTCATCTAGCTTGGTTGATTTGGGAAAATATAATTCTTTCTCACGAGATGGTTGATGAGATTAAGTGCCAACCTGTGAACTTCGGTATAATATGCAGCATAGCAAGTCGTACCATATCGCACGTCGAGATTCCCTGGACGAGTATGTACATCACGGTATACCGCATGGAACCGTTCTGATAACCTGTAAACCGTCTGCCACCCATCTATTCCTTCGAGCTTGAGGTTCAAAATCCTGGGTCTGCCCAGGAGCATCCGCGCTGGGACTTGCAACTAGTCTGTAGTACCCACTAGTAGAAGCAGAGCAGTAGAACTGTCATTGTCTAAAGACCTAGAGTACGTCCCACACACCTAGAGTATGTCCCAAGAGTACGTCCCACACACAACGTCTGCGGTGGTGTACGGTGCAACACGCTTGAAATCGGTTTCCCCACTTCACCGCGTCATACCTTTGGGCACCGTATTGGACCTGTACAGAGTGTGCGGTGGCCGTACTCTTCGGACACGCACTAACTACAGCATTAGCGGGAAGACCTAACACGGTGCAGTCGGAGCCCTCGCATGCTGATCTGATCTGCAAATTCCACACAGGGTAGTCGGTGCATTGATTTCCGCGGTTAGACCTTGGCACAGTTAGTGCATGTTACACGTGTGGGCGTTTCACCGTGAGTGCCGTTATCCAAGACCCCAGCCATGCGTCGCGACGACGTGCTCGCGTGTCAGATCCAGAGCTGGTACCCCAAATTCCGCTCCGTGTCGCTCCGCACGGAGATCATTCCCCTCCCTCTCGAATTCGTCGACTACCTCCTCTCGGACGGAATTTTCCTTCCTGCTTCGTGTAAGGCGGTAGGTGCGCGTTGCTCCCTCCCTTCCCTTGCACAATATTTGGAGGACCCCTCATGTTTAAATCCCTGACCTAAGAAAGTCCGAGTACGCAGCGCGACACTAGGATAACTCGGTTACGTTCTCAGCCCTCACGAAACTGTCTCTATTTCATATTTTTCGTGAAACCCTTCGCCGCCCGTGGAGAGTTTCAGCCATTCGTCCAGTCCAAGCTTACAATATTGTCATCGCTTCTCCGCTTGCCTGTGTAACAGTTGCCCACGCGAACGCGGCTGGGCGAGTGGGAGGCGCATCGCGATGATTACGAGGGGTTGAAAGAGGAGGAGGACGAAGCCGAGGAGCCCGAGGTGCCCGCCTTCCCCGCGTTCGAGGCCGCCGTTGACGCCGCGATTGCGCGATTGGGGGGAGCCGTGCTGCCGAAACTGAACTGGAGCTGCCCCAAGGTGGGTGCTGAAGGCTTTTGTGAAACAAGGGTTTGGTCTGCATAACGAAAGTAATGACTGATGGGCACGGTTCGAGGCCGACATCCTTTTGGCTCGCTGCATCTTTCTACCAGTCTCGTGAATCCTTTCTTCACTCTCACCTTAAACCTTCAACCCTGAAACCCTGGCTTCCTGCTCCGCTGTTCCCCCATCCCCCTCCGTTTTCCAGGACGTGGGTTGGCTGAGTGCAACGGGCACGCCCAAGTGCAGCAACGCTCAGGAGGTGTTTCTGCTTCTCAAGGCCTCCGACTCCCTCACCTATGACCTCTGCCATGCGTATGTTCTTATGTTCCCGAGCTCCCCTCTGCTTACCTGTGTTCCCTGCCCACTTCCTCGTTTCACACAAGTGCAGAAAGCATTGCCAACAGCAACAGCATTGTTATGACTCAACGCATTTGCCTTAGCACTGTAATGAGTCAACAGCAATTGCCTTAGCACTGTAATGAGTCAACAGCATTTGCCTTAGCACTGTAATGACTCAACAGCATTTGCCTTAGCACTGTAATGAGTCAACAGCATTTGCCTTAGCACTGTAATGAGTCAACAGCATTTGCCTTAGCACTGTAATGACACAACAGCATTTGCCTTAGCACTGGAATGAGTCAACAGCATTTGCCTTAGCACTGTAATGACTCAACAGCATTTGCCTTAGCACTGTAATGACTCAACAGCATTTGCCTTAGCACTGTAATGAGTCAACAGCATTTGCCTTAGCACTGTAATGACTCAACAGCATTTGCCTTAGCACTGTAATGAGTCAACAGCATTTGCCTTAGCACTGTAATGAATCAACAGCATTTGCCTAAGCATTGTAATGAGTCAATAGCATTTGCCTTGGCATTGTAATGAGACAACAGCATTTGCCATTTTCTCTTTTGTGTGACAGCTTTGACAGTTGTGTTGATAGTCCTGAGTCAGACAGGGCAGAAGCACCATCAGTTGCCGGTGACTCAGAGCCTGGAAGCCGGAGCAATGGAGGAGCAAGTGTGGCTGCAGAAACAGATGAGAAGCAACAGGAGGCCAGCAGAGCTGATGCAATCAATGATAGTGCCGGTGCAGAGCCACAGCAAAAGCAGCAGGTGGAAGAAATGGAGGAGCGGGAGTGTGTGCAGCAGAGCCGGCCTTCTGAGTTTGTGCTTGCCTTGCGCAAGTGGTTCGACCTGCGGCCAGAAATGGAGTTTCGCTGCTTTGTCAAGGCCCATCAGCTCATTGGTATGGCTGGCTCTCAAGTACTTTTGACGTATTGTGTTGTTTGCTTGTTTTGTGCATCTTGCCAGATCCTGGCAACCCACCACTCTTGTCTGTCTTTCTCTCCTCCCCCTGTGCGTTGATTTCCTTCCAAACAGGAATCTGTCAGAGAGAGATCACATCGTTTTACCCTTTTCTTGTTGACTCCCATCAAGACCTCAAGCTTCAGATATGTGACTTCTACAGCAACAGTATCCATGGAAGATTCCCCTCTTCTCACTGTAAGAGCACTTGATATTGCCATTTTTCTCCCTGAGCAAGTTTTGTCATGCACATCCATGTGCCTTATAGAAACCAACAGACTGGCGCGTTTATTTTATCAGGTGCTAGGCTGTTTCTCACTCCACCCTCTTCTCCCCGCTCTACTGGTGCATGCAAAAGGCACCTTTTCTAGGAAATCACCGCACACAATAACATGGCGTTTACATGCCAACCCACACACCAGCAGCTCATGTGCCACCTTGCTGCAGTCCCAAGCATTTGTGAAGCATAGCACGAGACTCGCCATTCTTTGCTCACTCCCTCACACCCAAATTCCCAAGGCCAGCCCACATGCCCCCCTCCTTGCTTGGATGCACGCCAATGTTTTTCCCTTCCTTGTCATTTGTCAACCCTTATGCAGATACGTTTGACATTTACATCACTCGTGATGGCCGAGTAAAGCTTGTTGATTTCAACACATATGGTGGAGCCACGCTGCCTCTTCTTTTCTCTTGGGAGGAACTGGGAGGACATCTATTCTGAGAAATCCACGATGCATCATCAATCATCCAGTATTGCGACTGTCTCATCAGCCTCAAGATCAACTGCACAATGACAAGCCCTGCTGCTGGCCTTCCAAAATAGTGGAGATGAGGATTGTAGAATCGAGGAGTGGCGTTCAGGTGGGGCTCAGAGCTGCTAGTGGGGCTCCGTTTGACCTTCATGATAGATCAGAGGGCAGCGCTTTTGATGAGCTTATGGAGAAGCTCAAGGTGGAGTGCAGCACTGATCAAGATGACAGCAGTGATGATGAGGATGGATTGTTAGTGTTAAAGCTTTATGCTGAAGTGCATTTCATGCATTCAGCATGCCACAGTTCTGTATCTGCGCGTCACAGGGTCCCTGACATATCTGACACATACAATGTCAAATGTAACTTAGGTCGTTACTGTAGACTATACTGGATTGTGCCTTAGAGGGTACAACACCCTAGTCTATATATCCTTGTACACACATTCCAGTTCAATCATTTTCTTTCTGATATGGTATCATAGTAGGTTAGATCCCCCCTAGCCCGCTCACGCTTCCGCCCCTACGTTCCTAGCCGGCCCCCTGGCCGTTCGCGCCTGTCCCTACCGGCCCCCTGGCCGTTCGCGCCCGTCCTAGCCGGCCCCCTGGCCGTTCGCGCTCGTCCCTAGCCGGCCCCCAGGTCGTTCGCGCCTGTCCCTAGCCGGCCCCTGGCCGTCGCGCTCGTCCCTAGCCGGCCCCCTGGCCGTCGCGCCCGTCTCTAGCTGGCCCCCTGGCCGTCGCGCCCGCTCCTAGCCGGCCCCTGACCGCCGCGATCTCTCCTAGCCGGCCCCCCTGACCGTCGCGCCCGTCCCTAGCCGACCCCTGACCGGTTCGCGCCCGCCCCTAGCTGGCCCCCTGGCTGTCGCGCTCCGCCCTTAGCCGGCGCCCTAGCCATCGCGCCCGTCTCTAGCTGGCCGCCTGTCCCGTCGCGCCCGCTCCTAACCGGCTCCCTGCCCGTCGCGATCGCTCCTAGCCGGCCCCCTGGCCGTTCACGCCCGTCCCTAACCGGCCCCTGGCCGTTCGCGCCCGTCCCTAGCCGGCCCCCTGGCCGTCGAGCCCCTCCTAGCCGGAGCCCTGGCCGTTTCGCGCCCGCTCCTCGCAGGCCCCCTGGCCGCTTGAGCCCGCCCCTAGCCGTCGCGGCTGCTTCTAGCCGCCGTCGCGGCCGCCTCCCGCCGTCCCTCGGCCGCCCCTAGTCGTCCCAGCCGCCCCTCGCCGTCGCGGCCGTCCCTAGCCGCCGCCGCTGCCGTCTCCAGCCGCCTCACGGTCGCTCCTGCCGTCGTGGCCGCCCCTCGCCGCCGTTGCGGCTGTCCCTAGCCGCCGTCGTGGCTGCCCCTGGCTGCCATCGCGGCTGTCCCTGGCCACCGTTGCAGCTGTCCCTGGCCGCCGTCGCCGGCCCGCCGCTGCCTCGGGTTCGGCCCGTTCTTTCCGATCAGCACCGCCCTCCGAACCCCCCTCGGTA